ATCTTTGGACGCCATCTTTCCATTGTTTGACTGTGCAGCAAAAGACAGAACTGCATAAACTTTCATGTAGCAGCTATAGTTAATCGTTATATTACTTTATATATTTAGTATTACACACACACACACACACACACACACACACACATATATGAAATATACATATTGACTGCCTTTCCATCTTTCTCATTAAAATTCTCCTTACTTAATTATTGCTGGATTTTACAGTTCAGAGTTCATTTGAGAAATGATTATCTTGAAGCTGCGTGAATCAATATCTCCATACTATCAGTGTTGTTCATGTTGAAGAACCCACAGAATACCAACAGCGTAACTGCAGTTTACCTGATTTCAGAAGAGATTTTGAGCCCCTTTTAGTTCATTGTTTTGATTTTGTCAGTTTCACATCATTCCCATTTCTGATAAACCCACCACATGCCACAAAAATCTCTCTCAGGAGTTTTTCGGAGGCCAGCAGAGCTAAAAGGTGTTCGCAGAGCACTAAGGTGAAATAATGTAGCCTTTAATTTGAATTCCTAAGCAATAAAACACCATCTTGTTCAGTACACTCAGGGATTTCACCGCTTCATCCTTATACTGGAGTCATGTCTCTGAAAAACAACGTTCAAATACAAATAAACTGCAAAACCTAACTGAGAATAAAGAACATGGTTGATACGAGCAGTAGTTGGTGTTAGCTGATGTTAGCAAACCTCTACTAAAATCACTGACTTTTGAGCTTCTTCTGCTGCTCTTAGGGGGGTCAAAATGAAACAGTTTGCTTCAACCACTTTTGAAATGTCAGCAAACGGCAAACATTTCCCTTCATGTTAGCCATTATGTACTCCAATCTGCGCCAAGATTCTCTGTAGCTAGAACTAATTGCCAAACATATGAAGGCCTCCTGCAGTGCTGGCTGCATCAACCACGTGGAGATGTAACACAAACCACGCGGCAAAGGTGGTGCTATTTTCAGCACAACTTCCTCTTCCTAATGCATCCATCCATTACAGTTAGATGGAGAGGATGTTTTATTGCAAGCAGAAGGTATTCAAGGGTATAGAAACAGACACCAAAAAATGTCATGGCCCATTTAATCCCCTACCATGCATCTGCACAGTCAAAGAGTGAGGAGCACTGAAAGGCCATTAGGGATTTTGCTTATATAAGCATAATCAAATTTCTCAGCAGCACCCCAATGTTTAAGGTGAATCAATGGGGCAGCAGACATTTGCCATGACCTTGTCTGCACTAGTCCGAAGAAAAAAAGTCTCAAGAAATCAATAGAGGCAATGAATAATGATTCTTCTGTGTTCTTTTTTTGTCCTGTTTGGTTCGTGGAGGGGGGTTGCAGCTGGAAAACTCCGAAGCCATGAAATAGTTTAATGGTTGTGGACAGGAAAGATGCAGCCTGGAGTAATGATTTATCTGTTTTGTCAGCTCTTTCTTTGAACTGAGAAAATAGGTAGAATATTAAAACTGTAACTGACAAATCTCTCACAAAGCCTTAAAGAAGCCAAACCCAAGAGCCCATCTCCTCCTTCGTCTCGTCTCCCACACTTCTTTTCTCTCTTCCCCGCTTTCACTCTGATTAATGCTATGGCCTCACGCCATCGTCTGGAACTAAGCAGGCCACTCGACAAATTGCCTTTTGCAGCCTGAAGGGGCGGGGAAAAAACTTTTATCTCGCTGTGATAAGCGTGGGCATAGGTTTGTCTGGACTTGGGCTTTATTCCTGTGAATTACAATAAATTAGCCAGTCTCTGCTGACAACCTGAAATCAATTAGACCCAGACAGAGGGGCAAGCGGCGCACAGCCGAAGTATCACAAGGCTAAAGAATTTCAGTCCCAATCAGAGGCAGCCAATTATAATATTGTAATGAACTACAGCGCAAGTTGTTGGAGAAGTTTTTTTGTTGTTGTTGTTTTTTTCTTCATAATTAAAAACAGCTTCTTTTATTTGATCGCTGGTGACTAATTGGGATAGAGCAAACTGAGAGTGAGAGGTTGTCATAGTTTTGATTTCAGATCTTTGTTGCCTGTCAGATAAACATCCTTTTAGGTGACGATGTGACAGAAATCCACAACGAGCAAACAGCCCCAATAATAGGGTCCAAAATTCTGCATGCTTCACTACACACCCAAAGGATCCTCTGAACTGAGCAAATACATGTATTTGTTGTCAATGCTTACTCTGATGCCTCTGTTTAGGCTCAAGTTAAGGTTTGATTTGGGTTTAAAGATTGTGGTTTGAGGTAAAACTGTTATGGAGTCACTGTTGCAAGAGATAGGATGCAAACAGCAGGTGCCCATGTCAAAGTCAAAGCTTTGCTGATCCATCCAACCCCACCTTATCCCTATGAGGTTTTGTAGCTCTATAAAAACAACCATCTACTTTAGTCCTGACAAGTGTGAAGCATTGCTGACACCACCACTAGAGGTTCCTGTCGTTTAAATTCAGACATCTAGGCTGACATTTTTCTCTGGATGAGTCCTCCCTTAACTTTCAGTAGCTCAAATTGTCATGTTGGCATGTACATGCAGGGCGTGATTTAAGGTTTAGACTGATAGCCAAGCATGCTTGAAGATGCCAGATAAAGAAAACCAGGCTATGTTGAAGTCATAAAGCTGAGGTTCTAAAATTCAGTCATTTTTTTGTAGTGACAACTTGGAACCCTGTCACATTTTTTGTGATACTTCACAAACAAATGCAAACGTAATCTCTCAAAGTATAACAAAAAATATAGTTTAATTGTGAGTTTTCAAATTAGGTGGTGCTTGCATTTAGCATTGTCTGTAATTACACGTTATGTCAGAGTTTTTTCAAATATAAATATCTAAATAACCAAAAAAAAATCTGGTTTATCAGCCACCCTTCGCAAAATTTACTGTTATTTTTCTGTATCTACACCTTTTAGTTAAGTCATTGTAGCTTAGGAGATGGAAACTTAACAATGTTGTCCAACTAAACAGGATACAGAACATTACTCTTACAATTCCCCCAGGAACATCTTTTGGACATCTTAAAGTGTCTGCATATTTGTTTGCACATAGCAGATGAAACATTAGAGCCTAAAAATAGCCTGAGTTGTGGTCAGGATTTATAAATTGTGAATTGGTTTGGTAACGTACAACGCTAAGAATAAAGTGAGTATGTTTCCACAACTTATTGGTTAATAGAATTTATGTGGAACCCTGCTGCACCCCAACCCCAAAAGGTGGTGCACATAAAACAACCAGACAATTTGAAGATGTAGTTTAATTTAAACTATGTAGCAACCATTGTAACACATATCAGCACAAGTTTTACCTTATCAAAAAACTGTTGGCTGTAGCTTTTGTCGGCTGTTTTAGTCAACAAAGAAGATAAAGTGATCTCATGGTAAACATCCAAGATTTTTACTATAACAGTATTTACTAATCATTATGAAAATGTGATGATATGCAGTCTACTGTTATAACGTACTAGTAGTTGTAATAATCAGTTATTTCTCTGTGAGATTTTTATGCCACCAGAGATCGTAACACACAGGACGCATTAAAGAGCAGAGTTACCTGCCATCGGTCACCAGATTTTGATTTCCCCTTGTGAATCCAAATTATGCAGGATGACATCATCAAAACAGTCCAGGCAGTGAGTTGCTTGTCAGTTTGCATGGCCTCATGTTGTACAGAGTTGGTTTGCCAATGACAATATTATCTAGACTGGAGCTTTTGCTTTTCCCCTGGCTTTGGATCAAGTGAACTAAACTACCATTTTTAAATTGAAAAGGGCTTTAAGGTGGTTCCTGCAAATGACAAATCTTACATCATAAATAAATGTATGTTCGATCAAGTCACCATAAACTAATAGGCACACAGTGAACAGCCAGTGTAGGAGCACTGGCTGTTTTTTGAAGGCACCACATGGTATAATGAAGCTGCCGTATGCGCTGAACCTAATGGGCATTTTAAAGGGGGCTCCAGGGTCTCGAAGTGAGTTAATCCAGGCCCGTCCTAGTTTTATTTTGTTTTTTGTTTTTTTTCAAGAAATAAAGAAAATAATCCCTATTACAAGCCAATATGAAACAGAAACTGGCATTACATCATAAGCTGTAACAAAGTACTTTTACAAACATCTATTTTCAGCCGTAAAACCAGGTTTGTGTGCCAAGAAAGCTAAAAAAAAAAAAAAAAAAAAGTGCAAAACAAAACAAAANAAAAAAAATGCAGCACCAAAAATTAGTGAGTTATAAGATTTACACAACTCGTGTGACAGCAAAAGTGACATCTCCTCCACTGCTGGCCACAGAGCAGATTGCCTTGGGCAGCTGGAGACTCGCTTTTTATCTCCGAGGCACCTCGACATCTTGATGGTAGTTGTTGAAGCAGGATGGAGCTTGCACACCTGTGCACAAAGCTTTGCAGCTTTACTCCAACACTTGACACACTCCCTCGTGTTGCTGTTTCCACCACAAAGACACCTGACATTTCCCACAGGTCAAGATCGGTCTTGGTTTGGCCCGTACAAAATGTGCCTCACTTTCCAGCCATTCTGGCCTTTCCTGTATTTTCCACTTATTTATTTATCAGTGGTCTACAGCTCTGATATCAAATGGACTCTCTGTTCACTGCAGAAAAACAGATGGCTCTGAGAGATAAAGTCAATTACTGTTGGCTGTCTGTTAAAGCAGCAACTGCAGCAACTTAGCAGTGGAGAGGAACTCCTGGGAATGCAAATGGAAATCCGGGCTCTCATTTAATGAAAAATTGCACAGTGAATATAGCTTGCATTACCTACCACAGCAGTTAGTTAAGTCTCCATGGGCTGCAATTACATGTGTACCCTGTTCAGATGCTGAAGGCTCAATCATTTATAGCATTTACTGTCTTACCCTTGTAGGTTTTCACGGCCATCTCTGTCTTTAAAAGAGGCGTCAGCTATCACGCTAATAAAGAGGAAGACATCTTGATAGTAATACAGTGATTAACCTGTAAATTGTCTCTTTCTGTGTTTGTTAAGGATGATCCCAGCCTCCAGCAAAGCTTTCTTGGTGACAAATCTAGTGTCGGGGACCCGCTATGATCTGTGTGTGTTGGCTGCCTGGGACGACACCGCCACTACGCTCACAGCCACTAATGTCGTGGGCTGCACACATTTCTTCACCCAGGATGACTACCCTCAGTGCCAGTCTCTGCCCAGTCAGCTGCTGGGAGGCACCATGATCCTGGTGGTGGGAGGCATCATCGTAGCCACGCTGCTGGTGTTCATCGTCATCCTCATGGTGCGATACAAAGCTGCAGACACTGAACCTCCGGTGGGGAAGCTGACCAGCGTAAGCGACACGCACTCTCAGACCAACGGGGGCCGACTCGGGCAAAACGGACTTCTCATGCCCCAGTCTCAGCCTCAGCCTCAGCCTGAGCCGAAGGTCAAAGCCAAAGTGACTCTGAAAGATGAGGTTGTGGAGTTCAAGTGCGGCTCCCTTCAGAGTAGCCTCACCTCCTCCTCCTCGTCCTCGGGCTCCATGGCCGGGGGATCGCTGAGCCCCAACAGCACACTTGCCAACATCTGGAGGTCGGCTCCCTCGAAGCCTCGAACCAACCTGGATCACCTCCTAGGGGCCTTCACATCACTCGATCTTCGAGGGGCTCAGGGCCTTGACCCGGGAGCCTCGGGCAGCGCTACGACTGCAGCAGCGAAGCCCCACACAGACAGGGAACCACTGTTGGGCCGGACACTGGACTCCAGCCTCAGCCGGCTCCTCATGCTGCCTCTGGACTCCAAGCCAAAGAGGAGCCAGTCCTTCGACATGGGAGACGTAACAGGTGCCGGCATCTCTCAGCTTTGCAGCAAACCTCGCAGGATCAGCAGTATCTGGACTAAGAGGAGCCTGTCTGTAAATGGCATGCTGCTGCAGTGCGAAGAGGAGGGGGACACGGGTGGGAGCAAGGGGACGTTAGACAGCGCTGACTGGGTGATGGAGAGTACTGTCTAGGTAAGATAGAGAACCATCACACTGTCAAACACTGCCCAGACTGATGGCCTACAGCCACGCCAAGACAGACCTGCTGGTCTAAGAGCCTTTGTCCTGCATGAAGCACACCCATTTGCATCCCTTCCACTCCACTGCTCAGACTTAAGTGAGACAAGCTGAGTTATTTTCACAGTCCCAGCCAAACAAAAGGAAAAAAAAGACCTTTGGACTGTTTTGCCTCACACTTTGTACAGAGATGGATTATTGGGGCCAATCGGCCACAATGGCAGAGCAACAATGTTATCTGTTACAGAGATATAAAGTGATGCCCATGGGCTGATATTATATTGTATAAGTTCAAAGTATGTAATGAAATTAAAGTTTTATATTTTTTATTTTGCTGGTCAAACACAAATAATCCATGACGATTACTGGTCTCTGCCTTTACACTGGCGCGAGGCATGGCCAGTGGTTACACTATGAAATCTTCTACTGTAAATTCATCTTCATTTTAGTTACCTACTGATGCAGTTTACCTTTCTCTGACTGAATGGTGCAGTATATATATATATACATATATATACATAGATGTGATGCTTTGATTCATTAAGATTTAAGAGAAAAAAAGATTTATTGACAAAGTTGTATGTGAATATATTTACTTTCTATACAGAGTATATATTTGAGGGGGTCACTCAATAATTCTGTATGCTAATTGTAACAAATCTTATGTGACTGCATAGACTATGAAATCCATCTTTTTCAAAACCATGACTGTATTATATTGTTTTGGTTTTTTTTAATGCCAAATTACAGATGAGGAAACTGGTGCAATGTATAGGACTTTTCAAGACAATTAGGCCTGTTTAGCCTCTATTAACACTGGTGGGGACTTTTGTTGATTTTTTGCAATTCTTTTTTCTTTTTTTGTGTGTTTTGTTAGCACCCAAACAAAACTTTATTTCCCTTTGAACTGATATTAATTATACGTTCAGGTTGACAAAAATATTTTCACTTTTCAAATCAGTAATTACCAAACTCACTAGAGAAGAAGGAACACATGCACCAGAGTGGTCAGAGATGAAGCAGTAGTTTATCCAGATCATTGAAACACAGCAGTGCCAGGCCACAAAGCATTTGCTATCAGGCTGTGAGGAGACACTATGATTAAATGAAAAAAAGAAAAAGAAATAAAAAGCTTAGTAATAATTGTGTGACTTCACAGCGTATAATGAACTACTTGGATCGGGCTGTTTTCAACATTTTCTGTCATGTCAAAAGCAACTATTAGCTGATTACCCATATGACAATCATAATATTAACACACAGTTGCAACACATTTTTCGCTTATGTTTCTTTCAAACCAGAGTGATATAAAATTGGTATTTCCCTTGATTTTGAGTGGGGAATAGTTTAGGTTTATTGTTTTACTGTCCTTTAAAAATATACCCATCAGGTTACCAAGTCTCTCATTTTGTCTTACAGGCTTCTAAGTTACCTACAGCTTTCAGAAAGGCCCACAAATTGTTTTGAGATCATCCTCTCTGTCATTTTGTATGAAACTACTGTTGCCAGAGTCACTTTTTCTCAAATTCTCTGCGTCACATTTTGCTGACCAAATTCTTCCGTGTTCTCATCAATGTTCTCGGGACTCAGAAAAGCAGGGTTTAATAAGCAAAACTAATAACGAACCTATTTAATGAACGCTCATTGTGCAGAAAGTTTCTGTTGAGCAACATGACGTTGCTTTGCTTCTATCGTCAGGTGTTGCATGTTTCTGCCGAACTGACCCATGAGACAGTTTAGTCCAGTGTATGCACTCATGTCGTCATTTCCCATGTGTTGTCTGAATGACTTTGTGATATTTCTGATATGACTGCGTGTGTACAGTGTCTCTGTATATTGGTTTTTGTTTGTTTGTTTGTTTGTTTTGGGGGTTTTTTTTGTTTGTTTTGTTTTGTTTTTTTGTACCATTCTCCAATTGGAACCTGTGCTGCAGTTGGACTCAACAGCCGGAGCAGAGGCGAGGAGCAGCGGCTTTGCTGTGTTGTTATGCTGCAACTGTGCACATTTCTTACTTGGATCTGTAAAAGATGTTTGTGTGGTCAAATTTGTTGTTTTTGCTACTAAGAAAAAACTAAAAAAAACTCCTGAGGCAGCTATGGGAAATCAGAGTTTTTCTTCTATTACGGATGCTGTTGGGTTACATGAGGACTGAATGCGGTAAATCTTAACAAATCAAGGTGAGAACCAGAGAAGTGGACGCACATAAACAAAAAATAAAGGTGATCAAAGTGGATTGGAATTTCAAAATTTCAGTGTATTTTGCACATGAATGTAAGGATTATGGTAAAATGTTCATTAATTTAACAAATGTATACATATTTGGATAAAATTGTGCTTGTATTTCATGGTTAAGCAGCAAAAACCGAGAATCACCACAGTTTAGGTGTAATCTGAGTGTTATATGTGCATCAGAATGTGGCTATATTTGTGATCTCATATATAAAAACCCACCAACCAGATGCCACATGCAGATTATTTGGTACAAGTGAAAGTGCAAAGTAGCTGTCACATTTACCAACTAAACAACATGCGTCCACACTGAGTGTTCCGGCTCGGTCCTGCTAACACCATGTCCACATTAAAATGCCAAAGCAGGTCACTCTCTGCCTACTGGCCCTGCAGCTGTTGCACCTAATGCATTGTTCACCCCACCCTCCTTCCACTCCACCGGTCAGGTTTTTGTCCCCCCCCCCACACACACACACACACACACACACACACACAATTGTCAATCATCCTGATGAGCTGTCACCTTCCCTGAGGCTGGGGCACCGGCATCTGTAATGCTACTGGAGATGCGGAAAAACAAACAAGCTGCAAATTAAAAGAAATCCTGCAGAGGTTTGTGGCTGACACACATTCACTGTTCATTTGTTTTGCCGTCTGCTTTACTGAAAAGCCAGAGGATTTAGGTACAAAGCAAATAATATATCCTATTTCTTGCTTTTTGTTTTGATGGGCTTTTTTTTTTTTTCAGGCGCAGCTCTATGAGGGTGCAGTGCATGCTTCTGCAACCCTCAGTTAGATATTTGAATGATAAATGTCATTCAATTATTAAAAATGACTACTGTTTTGTGTCAGTCTGCGCAGCTGTGTTTGGGTGTCTCCAGTCGCAGCTGGGCAACTTCAGTGCTAATATTTGCTAATTGCCCATATATCATGTGGATATTTGAAAATGGGTAGAGAGACTGAAATTAAACACCAGTATCCACACAGCCTCCACAGCTGCAGGGCAAGATCATGGAGACAACACATTACCAGCAGCGAAGTTGCTCTAAAGACTCAATCCAGAGGTAGCCAAGGCGTCTTAAAGTTTCATACCAGCTTGCTCCCGCTCTATTTGGCTGTTTGTACAAATTTCCAGTGGCCACAGTTCACCAACTTCTGGCTGGGCACCAGAGTTTGAAGGTTCTGACTCATAAAGCAAACTGTTGCTAAAAAGTAGTGACATTCCCTTGCTGCTGTTTATTGTTGTGTTCGTGCATAGTTTATTCATCATAACAATCTATTTTTCATTACTGTTGCTGTTGCCACTTTATATGTAGCCCATCCATTAATCATGTTAATTACAGTCTAGCTTCCAAATATCAGAGGCCTAAGCTACAATATTAGACAACCCAAACACATATAAACACCAGAAACAAGCAATATTATAGCATCTCCTATAATCACTAACTGTCATGGCTGATCATGCTATAAACTGCAAATGCTTCTACGGCTTTTAATTATTCAATGATTATTAAAAACATGAGCGTTTTACAAACACCGCAGACAGACATAAAGTTTTGTGTATTTGCACGTTACGACTATTTGATCCTGATAAAAGTATCTGCAGATAAACTGAGCAGTAACTACTTGTCCTTGCTCATTTCATGCACCCTAAGTCATTTCATTGTGGAAGCGGGCCTGCTGTTGTTTTTCGGTACACAGTGTCTTGAAGTATTTGTTAAAGCATCGCAATCACAGTCATCTGACAGCACCAACAAAACTGTAGGGAATATCTGACAAAGAAAAGAAATGGTGTAAAACCAAAACAAAGACAAAAAAAAATACCAAAGAAACCTTGCAAAACTGGGGGATGTCTATGGAGAAAAGTCAGCCTCAAACTTAAAAAAAAAAAGGTTTCACTTCAACTAACATTGACAGGCTAAATGCAACTGTTCCTCGCTTCATCCTGACTTGATTTAATCTCTTCACATTTCTGTGAAGATTCTCAGTTATCCGAGACACAAACAAAGCAACGTGGTGTACGCAGTCCAGTGTAGCGAGGAATGCCCAGACGTGTACATCGCGGAGACTAAACAACCGCTCCAAAAGTGCATGGCTCAGCACAGGAGAGCCAGCTCCTCAGGACAGGACTCAGCAGTCCACCTGCATCTCAAGGAGAAAGGACACTCATTCGAACAACGTACAGATTTTGGCCACGGAGGACAGATGGTTTGAGAGAGGGGTGAAAGAAGCCATCTATGTCAAAGTGGAAAGACCATCCCACAACAGAGGTGGAGGTCTGAGGCATTATCTCCTGTCTGCAAATCAGTCCTAAGATCTCTCACCAGGAAGATGAAACCACATTCACACCTAGCCACAAAAGACCCTAACGAACCCCGTTGTGGCAAGGGGAGCACTAACGACCCATATAACGAGGGGGAGGAGCAGCAAACCCCCAATTGATACGAAACTCTCCTTTAGGATATAAATATCTGGAACTCCCAACTAGTCAGTCAGAACTGATGAAGCCTCTTGGGTGAGAGGTGAAACATCTTCAAGGAAGTGAAGCAAGTCCAGTTGCTACGATGAATCTACCAGAATCTCTTCACATTGGAACACTATGGGGGCTAAATGACAGCATTAAATACCACGTCAAAAGCTTAAAATGAGTTGACATGACATGTGAAATGTTCTTTAAAAGTACTTTTTATACTCAATCCCAGGATATCATGTAGAAAAAGTTGATT